GGGGGGTTGGACGGCCACGCTCAGGGTGATTAAAGCTGCCCGCTGACTCTTCTGCTGGCTTAATGAAGTCTTGATTAAGTTTAACAAGGTGTGGAGATGGCAATGTCATCGTTATGGACAAAAGCCGCCTTAGGGTGTGTGAGAGACTGCTGCACTGTAAAACGCAATTAATACACACAAACCTTTTCACATCGAAATGAAGTCATCTTCAACCTACCGCCCTGCTGAAAAGAAGCCAATGAAGAGCAGACGTGTAGCCCACATCTAATCAAACACCATTTTTCTCCTTGCCTCAGCATCTCACTTTATTTAAAACAATTTTTTTCTCATTTTGTTGTATAGACCTTAAGCACCAGAGAAACAAGCGCTGGCATCTTTAGAATTCTGTCTTTGAACTTCCGTTTTTGCGGTACCTTTATAGGAATCACAGTGCCAATTTTTTTTAAAAATGCAGCAATGTACAATAATTGATATACTGATCATTATCATTGTTGGTGCGTTTCAGTAGTTTAGTGAAGGAAAGTGTACATAATAATCAGAAATCATTATAATAAGCTGATTTGATGCTCAAGAAACAATTATTATTATTATAAATGTTAAAACAGTTGTGCTGCTTAACATTTTTGTGGAAAACATATATTTTTCAGGATTTTTTGATGAATAGAAAGTTTAAAAAACAGCATTTATTTGAAACAGAACCTTTTGTAACATTATAAACGTATTCACTGTCACTTTTGATCAGTTTAATGCATCTTTGCTGAATAAAAGTGTACTTTTTTTTTTTTAAAAACTGTTTGCTTTTTTTTTGCATAATTATATATATAAGATCTTGTATATATACAGTACCTTGATACATACTTTGCCAGTGATAAATAGCAACTGTGCTTCCCCACTCATGAATAGCACTAGCTGTGACTGCCTAGCCACTACATAGCCCAGTCTCCATGTAGCTTGAAATAACCTTTATTATCTTATATTTAACCTTATTTGTTTGAGGCCACTCACAGTTTCATCTAATTTTAAATTAATTACTTTTGGTCCTGACCCGCCGGTTTGAAAGCAAACTGCACGCTCAATTAACCAAATTACATCTAATTAAAGTGCTAGTCATACTGTTGCTTTCAGAAGACACATCAACATTTCCTGTGTGATAAATCTTTATGCCTGAAAGCAGCAATAATTTATATTATATGCAAACAGTAACAATAAAAAGAAGACTAAAGAACTGCATCACATATTTGGACTTGCTAAGAATGAAAGACATGAGTTGTCGAGGACTAAGCTCACCATAGCCAATGGCACGATTCCCCCGAGGTCATGTGGTGCCAGACGGATGAGTGTCTGGATCTCATCTGAAAGGGTTCGGGAGATGGGGTACTCAATCTGCCATGTCACTGAACGACTTCCCAGAGGATCCAACAACCCGTTGACCTCCAGATCCACCTGCAGGACTTTCTGGAAACCGGCCTCCACCCTAATATAAGTAGTAAAGAGTAATATCAAAATGTTTGAATGCAAACTAAAAGCATATGCATGTAAAACTCATGGGTGTCTTGTGTTTATTTGTAGTTATGTGGCTACTGGCCAGTGCATGCTGCCAATGGATGAAGGGGCAGTCAAGCGGCCATTTATCGACCCTTTTGTTTTTGTACACCTGGTGCGTGTAGGATGTAGGCTGCGACATATGTGGGTGTGAGTGTGTGGCGTTTTACTCTCATTATTTCAGTTCAACAAAAACACATCCCAGCAGCAACGGGGAAAAAAAAGACAGCAAAAAAGCAATTTACTTTTGGTCCAGCACCACAGCATTTTCAGAAAAGATTTTCAAAGCAGAGCATAACATTGTCTCCACTGATTGCAATGCAAACAAAGCTGAAAAACAATGAATAAAACCAAAACCATTTGATTTGCCCAGGCCTGAAAAATTCCTAATATCAAAATACAAATGTGGAATATGGAACTGCAATTGAATTCACACCTGGAACACAAAAACAAAACTATATTCTTTTCCTCAGAATGTTTTTTTTTTCCTTTGATAGAATCGGAGCAGTATAGTACAAGTTCTCTTATAAAATAACTCACACATCCATGAAAAAATATAAGGTCACCGCATTATTCTCAATGCTGTCATTTCATCATTTTGGAAAAAAGTATTAGAATTTGCTCTTTGGTTGACATCACACACAAATGTAACGTTTTTTTTGTTTATTTTTTTCTCTACAAACACTTCAGTCAGGGTTAACAAGGCTGCTGTTTCCCCATGTGGAACTGGGCTACTTTTAACCTGTTTCCATGAGAGTTTTTTTATCCTGCAGTTTAAAGGTTTGAAATATCACACAAATTATTTTTGAATGCAAGGATTTCTGACCAAACAAACAGCCAATCCTCTGTAAATCAAAATAGGTAAGATGGATACTACTTTTTATGTTTGACAGGCTAACTGTTGTTATGATTATAATTTAGTAAATTAAACTGTACGTCAGGTAACTGTGTATAATAGCCTACTGTTCAAAGTTTTGGTGTCTGTAAGACTTCTATTCAGCAAGGTAGCATTAAATTCATCAAAAGTGACAGTAAAACATTTATAATGTTGCAAAAACTATTTCAAAGAAATGCTGTTATTATAAACTTTCCATTCATTAAAGAATCCTGAAAAAATGTATCACGGTTTCCACATAAATATTGAGCAGCATAACTATTTGCAACATTGATAATAATAAATGTTTCTTGAGCACCAAATCAGCATATTAGAATGATTTCTAAAGGATCATGTGACATTGAAGCTTCTGAAAATTCATCTTTGCCATCACAGGAATACATTACATTTTAAAATATATCAAAATAGAAAAAAATAATAATTATTATTATAACAGTTTACAATATTACTGTTTTACTGTATTCTGATCAAACAAACACAGCCTTGGGAAGCATAAGAGACATCTTTCAAAAAGAAAAAATGCTTTTCTTAAACATTAGTTGAAATCTATTGCATTTTATTACTTTGTATTCAATGATAAAATGTAAATTTTTCTTTTTTTCTTTTTTTTTTTACTTTGGAATGGTTAAATGCTGCTTAAATGACACAGCAGGCATAGAAATTAACTGAAAAACCTCAAAATGTATACAAATCTCCTGAAAATGCTAAAAAAATAAATTTTGGGTTTTGATATTGGGCTGGTTTTATTGCTCACTGGGCTGGTTTTGGGCTAGTTTGGATTAGTCTTTACAACTCTAGCTGCAACATCTGAGAATATCTCTTTTAGGAGCAGAGAGATGTGTCATCCTTTTTCTGTCAACAAAATAATTCCATTACAGTCTCCCTCAAATAAATCTTCAAGAAAAAAAACAACATATTCAACCTGTCTATATCCTCTAATAACTTTCATTCCAAAAAGCCCTGGATTCTCTGATTTCAATGTCATGGAAACAGAGACGGCAGGATATCTTTAATAAGCAAATCTGGGAAGATCATATCAGTTTTCACACGTCCTAATCTGTGACTTTACATAATAAATGTGACCACACACAGCCAGTCTCTGCCAGATTGCACATGCTGTAAATTAATTTGATTGGTAGATTCTTTAAAGAGACATTATCTGTAAGGAGCAGAAAAGTGATCTCAAGACACGAAAAAGCTTGTTAAAAAAATCCTTAAATGAATCCAGTTGCTCCAAACCTGTATGAATTTCTTCCTTCCGTAGACCACAAAAGGATCTGTTAAGCAGGATGTTCATGTTCTTTTGCATAAATTGACAGTGCAAATGACAAAAATGCATCACAAAAGTACTTTAATAGTGGTCCACTCTAGTTGTGCACTATATTCAGTCATCTAAAGTCACGCATTAACTTTGTATGAGGAATAGATCAAAATTCCATAAAGATCAAAAGTCCATATTCACAGAAAAACTACTGCTGTAGATCGCTAAACTCATGTGTATATGCTCCCGTTCATATTTTCTCACGCAATGTAGTTGAAGTGAATTGCACAAGTCATATGAAGTTTTTTTTGTCATTTTTGGAGCATTAAAAAGTTGGTCATCACCATTCACTTTCATTATATGGAAAAGAGCAGTGTGAACATCCTGCTAAACTTCCGCTTTCGTGTTCCACAGAAGAAAGAAAATCACATGGGTTTGGAGCAACATGAGGAAGAATAAATGATACCCATTTTCATTTTTGGGTGAACTATTCTTTTAACAACTACACAGATGTATGTATCCATAAGTATGACTTACCCTAGGAAATGCAATTTCAGCAACTACAGCAAAAACAAAAGGTCTTGTAATGCCATGAATTACTCTTACCAACAGACATTTCGTTAAACACTTTTCATGATCACACAAAAAAGGGCCAAAAAAGTCTATTTAAAGTAAGTGTCATTTTATTGTGCTAATGTGGTGCTGGTGAATGGAGATGGGCAGCTAAAAGGCTATGGTGTTAGAGAGGTATTCTGGGAGAAACACAGCTGACAGCTTTGTTGCACTTAAAAATAAATGCATCCACCTTGTAAACACTGGCTTTCCACGACCTCACTGAATGCTCTGAAGAGCCCTGTTAGCTCAAACACTTTAATGGGTCATTGTCAGTTTTCTCATTCACTACTAAGAACATCAAACCAGTACAGGATTAATTAACACTGCCATTATGGCTCAAATGTAGGGTTAAGATGTGTCCAGCAGAGGGCGAAGTGCAGTATCTCTTCACCAAAATGGAACATTTCTGACACCAGATCAAAAGCTAATGCTGATTGATGAAAATTCTTTTGCTTGCAGATGGAATTTGGGAATCTCTGAATTTTTGCTGCTGAATTTTTGTTAAACGTGTTAAACCAAGCATACTGGGAGCAGATGTAGCCAATATGTTCAAGAAACAAACATAAAGGGATGGGAATTTAATGAATGACGGGCGTTCCAGCAGAAACTGCGGAACTTTCAGTGGAAGTCTGTGTATGACTTAGTTTAGTGAGCATTCTACTTGTTTATAGCCTATATTGACTGAGTTTTCTGCTCTCCACAGCCCACTATGGAAATCTTATGCTATGCAGCAGAGGTTATAAGGGCAGCAAATATGAAAATCTTCTCAGACACAAAGAGCGAAAAAGTGAAGCCTGAATACACATTTTTAAACCACAAAAAGAGTACTTTGTGAAAACAGGAATGTAAAGTGAAACGTCTCGGTGAGAGTTTCTCTGTGAAGTCTTTGAGAGTCTCGACAGGTGCTAAATTGCTCAACGCTAGGATGAATGAATTGTTATGTCAAAACGTATAAAAATGCAGAGAAAGCCAGATAGGAGCTATTCGTTGACATAGACTCGCACATAACTGTCGGAGGGAGTGAAATTCTTCCAAAATGTATAGGTCTGATGACAAAGGGTTCGACTACAGGAGGTGGAGAATTACTATTTAAAGTGTAGTAGGTGAAATTTCAATCTTTCAAAAAGGTTCTTCGACTGAATTTCCCAAAACAGAGGCTCTTCAAAGAGACGTCGCGCCTCCCTCATTTTACACAACCATGTAAAAATGGCATGAGAGAAAAGGAAAAAAGGGTAAAAAATGGAAATGGCTTTCATTGTGGAGATTCTAGGGTGGATTCATTCATGCACAGTGGTGATCTGCTTAGCACTGACAACAATGATACATCAAACGAATGGAATCAATTTGACTACAAAGCCGCTGTGGTTGGCAACTCACGGCTCGGGGAAATAAAAGTCAAAGCCAGGGAAGTAATGGCAGCTGGCGAGTCAGCTTTGAGTAAAGCTGTGGTGGAATTTCATTTCACAGGTTGCGGAAGACACTGAGCGAAAGAGCCGTGCTGAAGGCGAGCCCTAGCCCTCCTGCTGGAGGATTTGCCAGCCATCTCTTCCACTCGTTTCCCTCTCAAAGGCAACACTGGGCACTCAGGACCGCCAACAGCTAAGCATGAAACTCAATCACATTGCTGGCATGGGGGCCCTGACCTGCATCACACTCACTAAAGAAGTTTATGGTCTAAAGACGGAGTTCAGATGGTCAGAACAAAGAAGAGGAGGATGAGAGAGAAAAGAGAGGATCAGCAACGACTACAGATAAATATCAATATGGAGCCAGTATTTGCATGCAGAGGGAAACAGTGGTGCTTTTATAAAGTATCACGCTAATACAATAAATGATTGTGAAAAAGAACCAGTGACCAAAGATTACAAGTTTTGTGGTATCAAGTCTTAAAGATATTAAAGAGTTTTGTATATAATTGCAAGTAATCCAAGGAACTATTGGCACCAATGGTCAACTAAGGATTGGGGTGCATCTGGAAAACACAGTCCAGATCTTTAAAGGGGTCATAGGATGCTAATTTCACTTTTACATGTTGTTTGAACATAAAAGTGTGTTGGCAGTGTGTGTACACATCTACCCTATAATGATAAAAATCAACCCAGTGGTTTTTATTTAATCCCTAAAAATATATCCCCTTTTTCAAATCAGGCCATTCTCAGCT